GAAGCTCAGTGATCTTGCTTCTGGGGAACAAGAAGCTACCTAAAAGTCACACCCTGATTTCTACCGGTCTACCCTGGGACTCTCGAGTGGTGACATGAACCATACCCCATTCAGCACCTGGCCTTCCCCCCACCCACCACCGTCCTAGCTCCTCCTCATCCTGACGTGTTCTGTCTCCTCCCTGGCTCGGAGCATAAAATGGGGTTGGGACATGGGCACTCCTGGTTTAAGGGGCCTGGTTATTACTAGATCTGGACATTGGTCAAAGAAAGGGGGAGGCACCACTCAAGCTAAACCTCTAACTGGCAAACTCTGTCCACACACACTTTGGAATTCAGTGTTTTTCAGGGAGGGAGGAAAACTCCGCTTTTGGATGCACCGAAATTTATCACTACTCAATCCTTAAAATAGCTCAAGTGAAGAAATAACCTACTTCCATGGGCAAAAAAGCTGTTGAGGCCGGAGACCACGAGAAGGTACCACGGATATTACTTCACGCTCCCACAGACCCCAGGAAGGTCTACTTTCAACCGTACCCGCTGCAGGCAGCAGTCTGAGAGGAGGCCGAAAGCCAGCGAGAGCAAAGGGGACGTCACAACAAGCCAGGCCCGCGTGTCACAGGTCTGGTGTGGCTCCCCCTACCCCTGTGTTTGTGAAAACCGTGTGTAAGAAAACTGCAAAGTGCACCACTACAGATCCTGCACGACCAGCAGATGGTGTGTAAGACAGTGAATAATGTATATGGTGGGCGACATCATGCTGCTTCTTGGTGTTGGTCAGGAAAACAGGTTGTGGTTCTTAGTACGGTGGCATTAGTCAGTACTTTGTTTGCATTGGAGTCAATTCCCCATTACACACATAATCTCAACTGGTACTGTTAAACTTTGATCATCTAATGGCTTTTTTCTGGCTAATGGCTTCACACTCTGGCCTCAATTTACACAGGAAGGGAAGGGGACCTACCTTTCTGGTCTCATTCTTGCCCTAGTCTCCCCCAGTGCTCTGTACTACTCCAGCCCCATCTGCCTCATTTCAGTCCCTCAAACACACCAAGCACAGTCCCACCACAGGGCCTTTGCACAGGTGCACTGCCTGGAATGTTAGCCCCTTCTTTTTGCAGTTAATGCTACTCCTACTCATTCTCCAGATTCTAGCCGTGCACTCAGCAGATGGGTCAAATTCCTCATAGCACCACTTACTATACAGCAGTAACCACACAGGGAATACCAGTTTACATTTCCCACTGTGATTATTGATAAATGCCTGCCTTTCCCTGCCCCGTACCGTAAACTCCTTTAACTCGCTAATGCCCACTTAAAATGTATTTTTTAAATGAATGAAGAACAAATATCCTATTTTGTCTTCTACTGACATCATCTAAGGGAGGTACTATGGTCAATAATGATAAAATAGGTAGTTTAGGAATATAACAAAAACAAGCAGATTTGGATCACCAGGTCTTAAGTAACTGAAATAACTGGAAGCTATTCTTTTTCTTTTTTTTTTTTTTTACATTCACTCTTTATTCAACACCAGAAACATTTATTTATATACCATGACCAGGAGTCTTTTATGCTAAAAGGTTATAGAATGAAACCTTAGTAACATTCAATAATAATGCCAGTACATAAAATTTCCTGTCTGGTTTAAAGTATATAATTTACATAATATGGGAGTAATTCTTATCTACGTATTCATTGAAGTAAAAACTGTTATTTGAAATGCCAAAACACACAGGCTCAGTTGAAACAATTCCAAGACAGTATTTAAGACACATTAGTTTCACTCATAAAGCCATTAATCAACATTTAAAAAATAAGCATTTTTCCTCTTACCTCTTTTACAATGTTGCTCACTTCATCAACAACAAAAGCAGTCTGTAAAGAAGAAAATTAGTTAAGTTTCATGGCTTTAAAAGATCTGTTTCCACTGCACTGAGTAATGCAAATTTAGGTAATGAACATAATTTAGAAATGAAGACTTAGAAATGACTGAACTAGATTGTTCATTTTACCAAGGAAAACGCTACAAAGAGACTCAGAAACACCAAGTGGCTCTTTGAGGATCACAGAGCTGGTACGGTCAGGAGTGTAGACAATGATATAATTTAAAGGTTTTTGCTTTGTTTTAATCATGCCATGGTCCAAAACACAGACTCCACTTTAGATTCCATCTCTCTAGCCATTTCACTGGCTGCTGGGATCATTAACAAATGTAAGTTTAATGACTGACTTGACTTTTGTTTAACGAACACTCTTCCTGATGTAAACTGATTAGGAGGTTTGAAACTTAAGACATTTCTAAAAAAAGAAGAAGAAACAAGCTATTTCAGTTTCTGTTTTTAACCAGCATTAGTGATAAAGTACAATGACTGAACAGTTTTGGATAATTATGTTTCCTTCTTGATGCTGTCCTACCTCAGGGCGATGAAACCAGCTGCCAGCACAGCTGTTCTCCACAGGTGTGGCCGGGTGAGCTGGGGGGTGGGCTGCCGCAGGGATCTAGTGGCCGGAGTTTACAGGTGGGTTTTCTTTACACATACTGTACATCTGAACGGACACAAGGTTCTGTCTGAATCTTGGGAACAATACTTAGCTCTGGACACCCTTCTAGAGGACAGCCCGAGGCCCTCCGTCATTGTGAATCCTGGTGAAGAAAGTCAGAGCACCCTGCTTTTTGCTTTTTCCCTCCCTACCAGGATGCTGTCCACTGGGGCCCTCTCCGAGCAACGCCCCTTTTCTTTCCAGGTGGATCTAGAGCTGACTGTCTTGAAGCCCTCTCACTTGCTCAACTAGGAAGGCATCCTTGGAGACAAAGCCAGCTCACCAAATGAATGAAAATTTGCAGTATCTTACAGGTTAAATGAGTTCTTGAGGTTTAAAGGATCCTTCCAGGGGACTTCAGTGACCCTTAACCATACAGGAAAATCCCTGTGTAACTATCCACATGGCTAGGAAAAGGTTGAGGGGTACTTCAGTAGAGGTTTAGTGGAAAAGCAGAGGCGTACAGATTCCACTGGGCAGTTTCAACTTTTACAAGAAATATGAACAAGGAGTTGAGAACAGTCTTACAAAGGTCCAGATACTGACATGAAATTAGAGGATATGCAGAAAAGGCTTAGTTCAGAAGCTGTCAGGACTGGCATGGATTAGCCTACTAGGAAGAAGTCGCTGTTTTATCCTCCCCTTATAAGGGCCTAGGGCTTTATCTCCTGTAAAACAGATGCCCTGTTCAGCGTCTTCAATTCTCAGATCTGTGAGATCTGGAATAACGAAGTCACTTAGCCACCTCACTGCTGGGAGCCAGAATTAAAATGCCAGTATTAAGGTTTCTCTTACAGGGTCATTTCCTTTCTTAAAGTTTTATATACTCCTATAATACATGCCATTTCCCTATATCAGTTTCCAGGGAAAAGCTTTGCCTTTGCTAGCTGCTCATGCACCCTGTATCCATTTGGTTCCGTACCAGCACTCAAACACTGATAACAGCACTGCCATTCGAGTGGCACAAGCATTAGATTCTTTCCCCCTCCAGAAATCCTTGCTTAAACTAAGTTTCAAAAATGGCAAAACAGCAAACTTTACCAAATTCATCTATCGTTTTTATTTTTGATAGGCTGCATAATCTGTAGGACTCAATTTATTTCGACAAGAATTATTACTTAGCAAGAGGAAAACGGGCAAATATTTTCTATAAGAGGAGCATCCATCAGCTCTAGTTCCCGACTGCGTGTTAAACTGAAGGAAAGCCATGTTAACAGCACGCTGTTAGAATGTCTTCTGCTTGGCAAATAATGGTGTGCTTTACCCTGCTGCTTCTTCATTGAGGCAAGGACAGATTCTTTTTCCCCACAAGTAGGAGTTTATCATACTGACATCTCAAACTGAAAATTAAACTTAAGGGACGGTGGCCACGGTGGATGGAAGCACCGCACTTTAGAACAAGGTGTGGAACGGAAGACAAAGGCAGGCTCTCCTACTGTGCACTTCGGCATTTTGCAGGTGCATCAAATCCATGGCTGAAGGGACTCGGAAGATGTGTCTGTACGTGCGTGCCACGCGTGCATGTCACTCTGTAGTCTTGCGTGAAAACAGCAGACGCCCACGCGGCCTTCAGCCTTCCCCACGCGTGGACGTGGAGCCCCTAGTCCAGGGTAGGGGTCTGCGCCACGGAATAAAGCGAGCGAGTGACAGCACTCTCCCGGCGGCCATGCCGGCGGGAAGCAAGGTCCGGGGGCGCGGCTGGGCCGCGAGTGTGGAGCGGTTCGGGGGCGTGACGCGCCGGCGCGGGGCCAGGTCCCGGGCGCGGCTGGGCCAGGGGCGCCGCGGGCACCGGGCTGGCCCAGGGCGTGGGGCTGGCGGGGGGCGCGCCCCGGGGATGCCCGGGGACGGGAGAGGCGTGGCGGGGTGCTTCCTCCTCCCCGCACTGAGAAAAGTCCCAGGGCTGTGGGGCCCCTCCCGGAAGAACGGAGAGCTCGCGCCGCCGCGCGGGGAGCCCCTTCCGCGCCCCGACCGCCCCTCCCCCGGGCAGGATGACGACGCCCGGAGCAGGCCAGGCCGGGGGTCACCGCGAAGCGCTCGGCAGGGCGCCGGTGCCGTCAGCCTGCGCCCTGGACTGCCGCTGCCCACGTCCAGACACGGCCCGGGTGCCCACACACGCCCCTGGCTGCCGCCGCCCACCCGCGCCCGGGGCTCTCGGCCTCCACCCTTCCCGTCGCTGACCCAGCGGTTACCTCCTCGGCAGCTTGGTAGTCTTCCATCTTTCCTCCTGCGCGTCGCCTCCGCCTCCCTGAGTAGTGCGCACCGCGCAGGCGCACTCAGGCCCCGCCCCTCGGGCTCGCGTCTCGCCCCGCCCCCGCCGCGGGCCCGCGCGGCTCCAGGGCCCCTCCCTCTCCCGGCTAACGGGGCTGGGGACGCGGGACCCGCCCCTCCCCCCGCCCTTCCCAGCGTGGCGTCCATGGGAACCCGCGAGGTATCCCGGCATCATCGAAAACAAAACAAATGGACAAAAGCCATTCCGGCAGTAAGAGTCGTCCGGCCCCTCCCTCCAGCTTGTAGTGTATGAACTAATTTTAATATTCAAATAGATTCGGAGGTCTAGTAATACGCTGCAGAGGGATTTCTGAATATGAATGATGACCAAAGTGAGAAACTAGTTACGGTCTTTCTGGAAATCCAGGATTAGGAAACTTCAGCTCTGAACGAAATCCTCCTTTAGAAAGGTAAATTTACAGATAAATGAGATGGTTTTTTTTCCTATAAGTACCACTAAAAAAAAAAAAAAAAATCCTGGGTGGAGAATTTTGTGAAATGCTGCACACTTCCTGGCCGCTTTAACCAAACTGACCTATATATACGGTTGTATACGGGGGTTTTTCTGAACATTAGTAATTGTACAGCACTTTCCAAGAAGGACTGGAGTATGGGCACCTGTTTGCATGTGCTTGGCGGCTAAGATCTTTGGTTGGAGGGGCTGTTTTTTCTGGTCTTACTAGGTCCTTGAAATCAGGCTATCACCTCTCACCTCTCGAAAGTACAATTGCTAAAACCCACTTCCCATCCTCCCATGAAGCACTGACCACCAGCCCTTGAAATATAATAGAATTAAGCTACAGAGCTCACTTTCAATCCATCAGAAACCCTGTTTCAACCCTATGAATCTAAGTTCCATGTAGGCAGAGCCCTTTTATTCACTGATATACCATCCCCCACCCCTTCCATTATGCCCTGCACAAGCAGGTATGTAATTAAAACTGATTGAATGAATGATTGATTTCCCCAGGGGCATCTGTTTTGCCTCACGCCTAACTAAGAGAGGACTGGGGAGTGGAAAAAGATGCAATCACCTTCTCCCTTGTGGGAAGCAGAGGGCTGGTGAGCAGAGAGCCCGCAGTGAGAGACGAAGGCTGCTCTGCCTTGGACACCTGACCTAAGCTAACTGTATTTTCCTTCGCAGTTTTGTTCCCTTCCTGTTACCTGGCTTCGAGTCACCTGTTCCAGTGTTTCAGTCTTTGTGCCTCACATGTGGTTCTAATTCTGCCATGTCTTCATCTGGCTTCCCGACATTCCCAGCTTCACCCGAGATCCCATTTTACGTGTCCTTCTGCCTGCTGAGTTCTGGGCTCTGAGCGGCACCACGCTCCTCGGCCAAATGGGTCTTTCCACTGCTTTCTAATTTGCTGTCACTACTTTGCTGCGGACCTGGAGGCCCCCTGGGTAAGTGTCTTAGAATCATGTGCAAAGCAAGAGTGAACAGTTTCTGAGTGGACATCTGCATTTGTGCTGCGGGGTTTGGGACATCTTCTAGAGGTTGCTCCACAGCCTTTTAGGAACTTCCTAATTCAAATGAGTGTCCTAAAAGGCTGCTGGGATAGTGCGTTAGTAATGCATAGACTTTAAGTTACAGTGTAATTGAAACTCAGCATGTGCAGAAATTACAGAAAACATGTAAATGTGAATTAAAAATCTTTAAGCTTATTTTTATTTACTTTGAGAGAGAAATAGAGAGCAAGTGGGGGGCGGGGGCACAGAGAGAGAGAGGGAGACAGAATCCCAAGCAGCGTCTTTGCTGACATGCAGGGCTCGAACCCACAAACTGCGAGATCATGACCTGAACCGAAGAGTCTGACCCTTAACTGACTGAGCCACCCAGGCACACCTGAATTTTAAAAAGTGTTTGCATGACTTTAGCTCATATGCACTGGGTACTGCCCTCCAATTTTAACTATCAAAGAACATTCATTAAATGATCTTGGCATATGGCACATTGAATGTGCTCCAGAAATGGATAAAATGGTCTCTTCAGAACAGCTGGTTCATTTGTTCAACACGTACATTGAACATTCACTTTGTGTCAGCCTTGAGCTGGAGCTAAGGCTACAAAGGTTACTAAGATATGATCTCTACATTTTCTGTAAATAGGAGGGCTTGAATTCTCTAGGCTCAGTAGGTTACAATGCTTACAAAAGTGCTATGTGCTATGCTTTCATATGCTGCCCCATTGGCATACACGCTGTGGGGCCAAGGAATAAAATCACTCTGGTGCTGGCCGTTCACTAGCTGCTGTGTCCAGCACCCTCAGTCGGCCAAGAATGAACGTCCATCATAAGCACTGAAGTATAAACACACCGGCTCATAGCTGCTCATAAATCTCTGGTATTCGGCCATAGTTTAGAATGTTTAGTTTCTGTGCAGTCAGTGGAATGAATCTCTGGTTTGTTTCTCACGGCGGGGATTAGCCATCGTCTTGCAGATGCTGCATGCTCTCTTCCTTTGAATCCAGTCTCTTTTTTAAAAAAATTTTTTTAATGTTTATTTTTTTGAGAGGCAGAGAGAGACAAAGCGTGAGCAGGGGAGGGGCAGAGAAAAAGAGACACAGATTGGAAGCAGGCTCCAGGGTCTGAGCTGTCAGCACAGAGCCCAACGTGGGGCTTGAACCCACAGTGAGATCATGTCCTGAGCCGAAGTCGGACACTTAACGAACCGAGCCATCCAGGTGCCCCTCGAATCAAGTCTCTTAAACACAAACTCTTTAAAATAGGGATCGGCCTTGTCAGTGCCTTTATTAGGGAAGTGTGGACCTAATAATCATAGCCATGTCACCAGACAAAAAGGATATTAACAGGCACAGTTGGGTCTCGCAGTGCTGTCTGTGATCTGCGGCCCCTCTCTATCCAGATCCAGTCTTATGAACGTTCGAGTTTTCCTGCCTTTGTGCCCGTGAGCATGTTACTCAGATGGACCATGGAGTCATGCCAGGCCAGCGATAATAACAATTTGATGACAAAGAGGACAATGCCAAAACACGTGGGCCTGAGGAATTTGATGCTGTAATGGAAAAGAAAAGAAACTTGTGTCTGACACATATCTAAAGTGAGAGTCCTGCACTGAGAAAGTATGTGGTAGCAAGATTACCTAAGAGATGCCTATACTTCGATCTGCCGTCAGCTGGGAAGCACGAGCAAATGGGACTGAAATTCCTCTGTACCTGGAAATGGCTGCTGCTCCGGGCCCCTTGGGTCCTTCCTCCCCTGATCCTGGCTACCTCCACCCCATCCTCGAGACCCCATACCCAAGATCTAATAACTAAATGATAACTTGGGGCACGGCAGGGGCCCCCAGGGGGCATTTCTCCGACTGGATGATTTTTATGCGACAGTGGTTCTTAAATAGTTGATCAGTTCTGCGTGTATGGAAAATTACACTGTATCCGTCAGCCCGGGCTAAGTTAGCTGCAGAAGCAAATGACCCTAGACTCTTGGTGGTTGATAACAACAAAGATGTACTTGTCACCCACACTACGTGACCATCAGAGGTCTGCTATGGCTCTGTCCCCTGTCTTCTCCACACTGGGACCAGACTGATGGAGCAGCCTGGTGCCAGAATCCTTGAGGGGAGGGGAAGGGACAGGGAACAGTGGCCCCGTGTGCTGGCTAGGAAGGTGCTGCTCACGGGAGGCAGGGGTCACCTCCGCACACGTTTCATCATCTGGAGCAAGACTCGTGACGAGCCTGACTTTACAGGCAGGGATGCTTACAGAAGAAGAGGGCTAAAACCCACCACATGGAGACTTCAGAAGGTGTGCCTTGGTGATTTATCACGTTCGCCCTCTTTGCCTCGCTCCCGCTCACTCACCAACCCTGGCACTCTCCCCTTCTACTGCTCCTCTGGTCTAAGCCCCAGGCCAGCCCTGTCACCTCGCTTTAGTTTTAGATGTGATCGAACCGATACTGCTCAATTTCCACTCCCATCTTTTTGTTGTTGTTGTTGTTTAAGATTTTATTTTTAAGTAATCTCTATACCCAATGTGGAGGTCGAACTCACAACCGCAAGATCAAGAGTTGCCCGCTCCACCCACCGAGCCAGCCAGGTGCCCCTAACACCCACTTTGCCTACGCTTCCCTGCTGTCTGCTGCAGCCCAAGGCCTTAGGCCCGTGGTCTCCCGACTGCTTACATTTTGCCCCCCTTGCAGAAGCAATTTTTAAGCTTGTATCCCAAAGTTATGTTTATTCCCATGGTGATATAGTCAATGATGGATCCATTCATTAAACGTTCATCACGTTTAAGTTTTAGCTTTAAAAAAAAAATAAATATAAATAGAAGCTCTAGCATTTTCTTACTACATCCTGCTGTTCTGGTCTGAAGTGTCCCTCCTCAAATTCATATTGTTGAAGCCCTAATCCCCAGGACCTCAGAATGTGACATTCTGTACTTGGAAATAAGGAATATTTGGAGATGGGGTCCTTAAATAAGGAGTCAAGTTGTCATAATCCAATATGACTGCATCCTTATAACAAGAAGAGATTAGGGGCACCTGGGTGGCTCAGTCAGTTGAGGGTCCAACTTTGGCTCAGATCACAGTCTTACGGTTTGTGAGTTCAAGACCGACTGTCAGATGTCAGTGCAGAGCCTGCTTTGGATCCTCTGTCTCCCTGTCTCTGTGCCCCTCCCCAGTTTAAGTGCTCTCTCTCACTCTCTCTCAAAAATAAATAAAATATTTTAAAGAAAAGAAGAAATTAGGACAGAGGCACAGAGAGATCTTGTGAAGACACAGAGGCAACACAGCTAACTACAGGCCAAGGACAGAGGGTTCCAGAAAAAAACCAGTCCTATCAGCATTTTGATCTTGAGCTTCTAGACTCCAGAATTAAGAGAAGATGAAATTTTGTTGTTTAAGCCACACAGCCTATGGTATTTGTTACAGCACCCTCAGCTAAGTAATACACCTACTTCAGAAATAAGTATCATAGGGTACCCTCATTCCAAAAACATTTTCTTCCAAATATTCCTAAATGGATTCACTTAGTATCTTATGCCACAATTAGTAAAACTACTCTTAAATAGATAACAGTTATTATTTACGAAAATCTTCTTAGACCCCAGTCTCTATGGCAGGGCCTAATATAACAAATACATAATAAATATCTGTGAATGAATGGAATGAACTGTAAAGCTAAGAGGGAACCCTGTGGCCTTCACCAGGAAATGGCTCTGGAAGGCCAGATGGTTTGCTCAAGGTCAGTCTGATCTGTCTGTCTCACCCCAGAGCTTGCCTTCTTAATTCACTCTTGCCTCTTGTCATAACCCACTACCCTTCACAGACAATTCCTACCCACCCGCTCACCCCCCGCTCATCACCTGACGGAATGCACCGTCTCAGGTCATCATCCTCAGGCCACAGAAGAATAAGATTTCACAACTGGGGAGCCAGAGGGATGATCAAAGTGAACCTCATTTACAGTTGAGGAAACCGAGGCCTAGTAGCGTTCAGAGAGGTCTAGTGACTCCCAAGGCCACACAGTGCACTTTATTCTCGGGGATCATCTGACTTCTCAATTAGAGTTCACACTATTTCACCCTCAAAGGTGAGTCAAGAGCCCACTAAGGGAATAGAAAAACAAGTCCACAGAGTGGGAGAAGATATATGTAATATAAATACCTGACAAAGGACCCATATCCTGAGTATATATATATATAACTTCTATAAATCAAGAACAGAAAGACAGATAACCCATTAGTAAAATAGGCAAAAGACTTGAGCAGGCCCTACACAAAATAGCTATATGACCAATAAACCAATGAAATATGTTTAAATTGCTCAGCTACCTTAAATATCAGGGGAATGAAAATCAAAACCAGAATGTGATGCCAACACACTCTGACCAGCATGGATAAAATAAGAAAGGCAAATAAAAAATGTTGGGGGAACTTGTTTCTGATAGGAGTGTAAATTAGTATAACGGCTTTGCAAGACCAGAAGCAGCTACTAGTGTGAATGTATGCTAACAATTCCATGTCTAGCCACATAGCCAACAGGAACACGGACAAGGATTCACCCAGAAACTATACCAGAACTTCCTAACAGCACTATTCAGACTAGCCTAAACAATGAATAGCGCAAATGCCCCTCAATAGTACTATAGATAAGATTGTTATGTATTCATATGACATAATGCCACAGCGAGAATGAATAAACTATAATTACATGCAGAGCCACTTAAGAGCATAGAGTTGAACAAAAATCAAAATGGCGGCACTAATGCTTCAACGAAGCTTGATTTTAAAGTAATGTCTTTTCCTCTCTTCTGCAAACCTCACCTCCTGCCCTCCTAGCCTTTTGTTTCAGAAACCCAGCACCACCCTGAAAATATGACAAATGATGTTGGTAGCGAGTACACAATTCCTGTGGAAACCGGCTGGATCCTGCATTTCCCTT